TTAGGATAAGTACACGCTAGTATAGGAGGTACTCAGACTTTTCAAGCATTGTTAGATATGAGGGCTGAGCTAATATTGATACCTGGAAAACCTAAATTGGCCATGATTCTTTGGTTGGAATGGGACTTCCATAGGGCAAGTAATAAATGAAGCCTCTTGGGTTTGAGTCTTTTATACCCTGGGACTGTTTTTCTAGTTCTTTATTATATAAATGGAATAAACATTCTTAGCACCTGGCAGAACCTGCATGTGGCTTTGAAACTTTTGTAATATCTCATTACATTTATAGGCCTGTGCATTTTACTCTCTCTATGTCATGATCCTGATGATAAATGTATACTGTGATGTGAGACCAGGAAAGCAGTGAGTCAGCTGGTCATGGGTAGGTACATTGAGATTAAAAAACTGCTGGGTATGATGTCACTTACCTATAGTTCCAGCTACTCAGGAGGCTGAGATGAGAGGATCACTTGAGCCCAAGAATTTGAATCCAGCCTGGCCACCATACCAAGACTCTATCTCTTAAAAAAATAAAAAATAAGGCCAGGTGTAGTGGCTCATACCTGTAATCCCAGCACTTTGGAAGGCCAAAGTGGGTGGATTATTTGAGGTCTGGAGTTCAAGACCAGCCTGACCAAGATTCTTCATAGAGATAGGGGTCAGGCATGGTGTCACACACCAGTAGTCCCAGTTACTAGGGGGGCTGAGGCAGGAGAATCACTGGAACCCAGGAGGTGGAAGTTACAGTAAGCCGACATCGTGCCGCTACACTCCAGCCTGGGTGACAAAGTGAGACTCTGTCTCAATAAATAAATAAATAAAGAGGCCAGCGTGGTGGCTCATACTTGTAATCCTAGCACTTTGAGAGGCCAAAGTAGGAGGATCACTTGAGGCCAGAAGTTTGAGACTAGCCCGGGTCACATAGTGAAACTTCATCCCTAGAAAATAATCTTAAAAGATATTAACTAGGCCTGGTAGTAAGTGCCTGTAGACCCAGCTACTGGGGAGGCTGAGTCAGGAGAATCACTTGAGCCCAGGAGTTCAGGGCTGCAGTGAGCAATGATCAAGCCACTTCACTCCAGCCTGGGTGACAGAGCAAGGCTGTCTCTAAAAAAAAAAAAAAAGGAGGGGGCTGGGCATGGTGGCTCACGCCTGTAATCCCAGCTCTTTGGGAGGCTGAGGTGGATGGATCACGAGGCCAGGAGATGGAGACCATCCTGGCCAACATGGTGAAACGCCGCCTCTACTAAAAATACAAAAAAATTAGCTGAGCATGGTGGTGTGTGCCTGTAGCCTCAGCTACCCGGGAGGCTGAGGGAGGAGAATCGCTTGAACCCAGGAAGAAGTGGTTGCAGTGAGCCTAGATCATGCCACTGCACTCAAGTCTGGGTGACAGGGCAAGACTTCGTCTCAAAAAAAAGGTGGGGGTGGTGAATGAAAACATCTAAAGGGCAATTACAAGTTTGTTGGGTGAAAAAGAACAAAGATACTGAAACAGAGGATATAGTGTGGACCAAGGCATAGAGTAATGAAAATTCATGGGTATTCTGGGAAGAATAGGAACCTAGTATTCTCTACACAACCTCTCTCTCTCTCTCTCTCTCTCTCTCTCTCTTTCTCTCTTTCTCCTTTGAAATAGGGCCTCACACTGTTGCCCAGAGTGGCACAATCAAGGCTCATTGTAGCCTCACCTCCTGGGCTCAGGTGATCCTCCCACCTCAGCCATCTGTGTAGTTGGGACAACAGACATGCACCACCATCCCTGGCTACTTTTCTTTCTTTTTGTAGAGACATAGTCTTGCTATACTGCCCAGGCTAGTCTCGAACTCCAGACTCAAGTGATCCTCCTGCCTAAGCTTCCCAAGGTGCTGGGATTACAGGCATGAGCCACCACACCTGGCCTGAACATCTCCACAATTAATGTTTTCCACATAGAGCACTTCTTCATAGAATGTGTCTCTCAATACAGTGCTTTCCCACCAATATTTATACTGGAAAAATATTTATGTCCCCCAAACATAACAAAATTTTTAACAAAGTAATGGGGGAGTCAATGAATAAAGTCTTTAGGTTTCTTCCAAATACAGTTGGTAGCAAATCAGAGTTCACAGAAGACAATTGGAAAGGCTCTGAATGTTAATGAAGGGGACATGCAGTGCATTATACAGACAAAGCAACATTATATTAACTGCTGAGTGATCAGGAAGTACTGTTTTAAATATGTTATCTCCTCATTTTACTACAATTAAATAAATAAATGCAAAATATTTTGTTTCAATTTTTACACCCTAATGTGTTTGTTGCTTATATATTTACTAAGTTTTATATGTTTTAAGAAGTTGGTTGAAGAGTTTGGGTTGAGACATAATGAATGCATTAAAATTTTTCCCACTTAAAATGATGGGAATGAGGCACCTGGTTAATATTTTCTTGCCAAAGATGTTACGTGGACGATGCTGGTATTTCTGTATGGCAGAGGTTAGAGGAGGCAGAGGTAGACCTCGAATGGCATGTGAAGGAGCCTGGACTTCGATGGTAGTGAGTCAGAGGTTTTTATGCACGGCAGTGACATGTGGATGTGTGTGTGTTGTCAACAGGCTTGACATGAGTTTGAGTCAAGTTTTATTTCAGTTAGTTGCAAACAGCCCTGATTGCTTTTAGCTTCTCTGGGACCTAGCAGATTGGTAAGGGCTCATTAGTTGGAATTTAGATGTGATATTCCAGTCTTGTTTGTTTGTTTTGTTTTTGAGTCAGAGTCTTGCTCTGTCACCAGGCTAGAGTGCAGTGAAGGCAATTTTGGCTCACTGCAACCTTCACCTTCTGGGTTTAAGCAATTCTCCTGCCTCAGCCTCCCCAGTAGCTGGGATTACAGGTGCCCGCCACTACACCCAGCTAATTTTTGTATTTTTAGTAGAGATGGGATTTCACCATGTTGGCCAGGATGTTCTTGAACTCCTGACCTTGTGATCCACCTGCTTCGGCCTCCCAAAGTGCTGGGATTACAGGCGTGAGCCACTGTGCCCCGTGAAAGCAGGGCATGACATTTTTTTTTATTTTTTATTTTTTATTTTATTTATTTTTTTTTTTTGAGACGGAGTTTCTCTCTTGTTACCCAGGCTGGAGTGCAATGGCGCGATCTCGGCTCACCGCAACCTCCGCCTCCTGGGTTCAGGCAATTCTCCTGCCTCAGCCTCCTGAGGAGCTGGGATTACAGGCACGTGCCACCATGCCCAGCTAATTTTTTTTGGTATTTTTAGTAGAGACGGGGTTTCACCATGTTGACCAGGATGGTCTCGATCTCTTGACCTCGTGATCCACCCGCCTCGGCCTCCCAAAGTGCTGGGATTACAGGCTTGAGCCACCGCGCCCGGCTATTTTTTTGAGATGGAGTCTCGCTCTGTCACTAGGCTGGAGTGCAGTGGCATGATTTTGGCTCACTGCAACCTCCGTCTCCTGGCTTCAAGCGATTCTTTTGCCTCAGCTTGCCGAGTAGCTGGGATTATAGGCACCTGCTACCACGCCCAGCTGATTTTTTGTATTTTTAGTAGAGACAGGGTTTCACCATGTTAGCCAGGATGGTCTCAATCTCCTGCCCTCGTGATCCACCCGCCTCAGGCTCCCAAAGTGCAGGCGTGAACCACCGTGCCCACCCCAGTCTTAAGTCCTTATTAACTATATTGGACCCTTATAAGGAAGAGGGAAAATGAGCTTTTTTGAGACAATATAAGTGTACAAGGGAAAGGATTTTATATTTTATTCACTGTTGAATCCTAGCCCCTAGAATAGTCCTGGAGCATACTGGAACTCAGAATCTGCCGAATTGAATTAAGTTGAGATGAAGTCTTTCTGCAAGTTGAGTTTCCTGTTTCTGTCTCCTGCCTTTTTCTAGAGCAGTCAGCATGGTGCTGGGCTCATCCACTTCCTCCCTCACTGGCTCTGCTCCCAATCCTGGGGCTTAGTGTGTGCACAAGTTGGGGACGTGGTGCATGGTTCTGACCACCATGCCTGGGTGTCTGCTGGAAGGAATACACGTCTTTTTCTTTGAAAGAACTTGCATTCTCCTGCCTGGGAATCTGTGTCTGACTGCTCTGGCCCCTCTCCCATGGCCAGAAAGAGCAGGAGCTATTGCTTCACACAGCAGTGGAGCCCAATACTGCTGCAGTCCATACAGATAAAGCTCAGACTAGGGGTACTGGCCTCTAAGGACCTCCAGCACATGCCCACAGCTGCATCCCACACCCAGCATACAGCCCGTGATCAATAAATATTTGTTGAATGAAAGAATGACAGAATGGATGATATAGCTGAATATTGTTACTGGGTCTCTTCTTTGGGTCTATATCAGTTTTAAAATATTTTAAAGAGCATATTTTCTGGATCCTTGAGAAGTTTTCTCAAACAGAAGAATCTCTAGTGATGCTACTGCTAGTTGTAAGGAGGCAGATTGGAGTGTTGCATGGCCTGCCCCCAGGAATACAGAACTCAGCCTTTCTAATGGGACTGCCCTACCAGTGTCTCTCTGCTCCTTTTGTTGTGCTGCAGGGTCAGGTAGGGTAAGAACCCCTGTAGGCCTTGCCAGAGGGTTTCTGGCTTCCTCTCTATACTGCCAAATTATTCTCACAGACTCGGAGGGAATCTAGTTATAGGTTCCCACACTGACCTTTTACAAGGGAAAGCCTTACAACTCATTTTAATTCTACAATCAGTCTTGGAAAGCACATTCATTCATTTGTTCCCTGCAATTTACCCTGTACCATCCCAGGTTCTGAGTCTACTGTAGAGAGGAAACCAGGTTCACCTCCTGCCTGTGTCCCTGCTCTCCACATCCCCACTAAGTCCTGCTAGATCACTTCCACCTCTGGTGTGCTTTACAACCCCAAGACTTTTCCAGGGACATGGGGATGCTCAGCCACATGTGCTCAGACCCTCCCTCCAAACTGAGCATGTGTTCAATGGACCATGCTACCTTCAACTGCTAAAGCAGAGGCCAGCAGCAAATTGAACAGTTATCTATTTTTGTTTTATTGGAACACAATATAACATGAAATAAATATTAATTTACCAAATTCTTAACAATTTCATAAATATTAACAGACATTTTACAGAATGTTAACTTAAATAAGAAAAAAGTATATATCAATTTTCCCTGGAGGAACATACTTCAATGATTCTGATATCTAAAATATATTTTAAATATTTTATGCTTTCTGGCAAAGTGTCAGTGTGCCTGAAATGTTTACTTTCCCTCTGAAGTTTAATTACACTGAAAATTAAGGCCTAATCCTTCATTGGCCATCATTCTCATTGCAGTAAAATGTCCTCCTCCAAAATCTTTGTCTACAACAAACCAGTTTAGTCTCAACTTTCTATTATCCACTCGGTGTTTATTACACCAAGAAACTCTTGCAGGTAGTCTAGGAATTGCTTTACTCTTCGTCTTTCTTGTCCACACTTTTTCTGTGAAAAAAGAAAAATGACAATAGGTATTATAGGAAACTGTTCCATAGAATTAGGCACAACCAGACACATACAGTTTCCACTGAATATGTATAACTTACTTTTTGGCGGTCAATGTGTTCCTTTATTAAAGACAAGTTTTGGAATAGCTTTTCCACACCACTCCCTTGCACAGTTTGGTTCTCCAATGTGCCTATTCCCTGAAAGATTTCTTCAGTGCACAGCTGGTGCTAAATGAGAAAAAATTTTTAAATGCAAATAATCAAAACAAGGTATAAAAATTTGATCCATTGGCCATTCTACAATGAATACATATTTCAAAACATCATATTGTACACAATAAACATGTATACATTTTATCAATGAAAAAATAATTATTTAAAATAATTTGGTCCACAAATTTTGGCTTTGTTTGTGGTATGAATTCCCTTCTCCATTTAGTTTTTTGTTTGTTTTCTTTTTTTTTTTTTTTTTTTTTTTTTTTTGAGACGGAGTTTCGCTCTTGTTACCCAGGCTGGAGTGCAATGGCGCGATCTCGGCTCACCGCAACCTCCGCCTCCTGGGTTCAGGCAATTCTCCTGCCTCAGCCTCCGGAGTAGCTGGGATTACAGGCACGCGCCACCATGCTCAGCTAATTTTTTGCACCATTAGTAGAGACGGGGTTTCACCATGTTGACCAGGATGGTCTCGATCTCTTGACCTCATGATCCACCCGCCTCGGCCTCCCAAAGTGCTGGGATTACAGGCTTGAGCCACCGCGCCCGGCAGTTTTTTGTTTGTTTTCTAAGCAACAAACCACCATATAGTCAGGCCTGGTGCAGTGGCTCACACCTTTAATCCCAGCACTTTGGGAGGCTGAGGCAGGTGGATCATGAGGTCAGGAGTTCCAGATCAGCCTGGCCAACACAGTGAAACTCTATCTCTACTAAAAATATAAAAATTAGCAGGGCTTGGTGGTGGGTGCCTGTAATCCCAGCTGCTCAGGAGGCTGAGGCAGGAGAATCACTTGAACCCGGGAGGTGGGGGTTGCAGTGAGCCGAGAGTGACAGAGCAAGCCTCTGTCTCAAAAGCAACAATAGCAACAACAAAAACCACCACATATTGAGATAAAATTTTCAAAAAGTAGATGAAGCTTGTATGATTACAGAGGAGTTTTATAAAGGATATAACTTAATTATGTAACCAGAAAAAAATGTTTTGAAAGTGTAATACATTGTGCATTAAACTCACCTCAATGTGATTTTACAGTTTTAGCCACTAATTTTATTCCATTTAAACTAATAAAATTATATATTTTACATTTTAATATGACAAGGACATATTCAAATGCATACAATATCATCATATAGTTATAATTAAGTATGCAGAAATTATTAATATAGGGCATTTATTATATATTTCAATGTCTACTGCTCATGGTTCTAAACATATAATCCTAAGTTGCTAATACTTTCAGAAAGACATTACAATGAAGAAGACCAGAGTCAGAACTGCACAGAGACTAGCAGGCACCTCTCACTCAGTGTGGAATCCTTCTGGAAAGAATCCCTGACATGAGGCTCTTTGGGAGGCAAACTAACAACATCCCCAAAGAGCCTAAACCACTTGTTGAAAGGATTCTACTTGTTAAAAAGTCGTTTCCCATATTTCTAAGTACAGACATTCACAACCACCCATATGAAAACAAAGGTATAGAAAATTAAATAGTTCCAATCATAACTAATGATTTACAGCTTAAAATAGGAAATTTACTTATTCATGCAATCATTTGATTGAATCATAATTTAACTTACATTTTTATGTGCAGGAACAGGAATCCTCAGGGTCTGAAAAGGAAAGAAAATATAATCTCTTTTTATAGCACACTGGCATTCACAACTTTTAATGGAATGTTTGCTGGTGATACACTTATCACCCATGTACTAACATGCTTAGAATTTTATTTATAACATATCTTTCTGTATAGTAAAGGAACCATCACAAATGATTACCTATGCACTTTAAAGACTGTAGGAATCAGAAAGAAAGTTACCTCATTGACCATCAGCAGAGTTCGATGAGTAGAAAGCAGTGCCAAAGTCTCTTTCACCAATGCACTTGTGGGACGTGCTGTGGGGTTGGCACACACGTGGGCAGCTCCAAGAGCTAGCAAACTCAAATGCAGAAGCATCCTCATGGCTCTGAAATGTTCTGCGTTTGCCTTTGGCAAAGAAAGTGCATAGTACAAGTCTGCATCCCCAATCAATTTATCCTCGGTCTGTCTTTGAGGAAATGAATAATTTCTAACAATCAGATAGAGAGTGCCTAATAATGGCATATTGTGAAACTAAATGTTTCCAATGCCTTGTATCTTAAAAAATAAATTTACTTTTATCTTTTAATAATAAAAATCCCTAATTTTCCCCTTTAAAAACATTTCCTATTACGAAGAAAATCTTTGGGTTAATACATCATTGCCCCATTTGCATTTTTTAAAATCAGAAGATTGAGTTCCTCTTAAAAAATGTGTACAAAAGGGAGAAGTATAAGGTAGACCACCAAACAGAATTTTATGCTAAAATATGGAAATATTGGGAATGTTTTTTCAGATTGGCTATGTTCTACCATGACTGTAGCTAGATTAATCTGTCTTAAAAGAAATTGAAAATACTGATGGGAAGATAGTGACTAAAACGGAGACTGCCAAGCCTTGGCAGTGTCAAGTTCTGTTCAGTGGGGTCTTGATTAGGATCCTGTCTGTTGCCAGTGACTAGAAACCTAACCTAAAGTGGTTGAAGATAAACAGGGAATGTATTGGGTCATAGAACCAAACAGTCCAGAAATGGAGGCTCTTTTACATTTTGATGGCTTCAGTGACTCTTCCTTGACTCCATTCTTGGGCAGCTTTCCCACTGAGGTCCCAAGATGATGTCCAGACTCCTAGATCTATATGTATTCTGTTCACGAGCAGCAGGAAAAAGTAAGCTGTGCTTTTCTCATTGTTTAATCAAAAGCTTTCGAATTCAGTCTCTTTCTGACAAGGGCCGCATGTTCATCCTTGAACTATGATCAGGGTGATTAGCTCTCCCTGGAGCTAGAGGTGACCCTCATCTCACCTCAACTGCATAGCTGAGAAATGTGGGGTCCCAGGTAGCAGTAAGAGGGACACAGATGCTGGGAAGGCAACCAATAAATATCTGTCACAGATTCATAACACATGGATGTGTCCTTTCCTTTATGTCCCACAAGCATGGGGGTGTCCTTTCACACCTTGGGCGGGCCATCAAATTAGGGGAATCAGCCTTTGTTCCTTAGGCTCAGACCTGTAATCCCAGAAAGGTGCAAATGAGGCCACCTCCTAGACCACACACTTCCTTTTTCCCTGGCCTGAGCAGACATGATGGAGGTGTATGTGGGCCATTGTTTTTAATAGAGTGCTTCTCTGAGCCTCCCGTAGTGGCTCTGTGTTGGCAGCCTAGAAGCCTGACTTTAGGCCTGTCTTGAGTATTGATAACAGATGACACCAAACACAAATTGTTGCCCAGAACACTTTTCCAAAGCTAGGTACAGTTCTGTATGAGTAGAGGGAGCTGGGAAGTAGACACACCTTTAATATACGTGCAATCCTAGCTCTGCACTGGAAGGATAGAGATAGTCTCGGGTTTCAGTGGCAGCCTTCTTGTACCATGTCTGGTTTTGTTTGTGCTAAAGTTTTGGGCCCTCGGTTAGAAGTGTCTGATTTGCACATTTGAGAAATGTTTTCCTTGAGACTGCAGAAGAAAAAAATCTGTCAGGAGTGAGGTAGGAATCACAATAGCCTTGGTCAAAGTGCTCTTAAAATGGTGTTCTCAGAAAAGCAGCAGAGTTCTGGCAGGAGCTTTCTCTTCCCAGAGAATATGAAAGAGTTCTCTCTGATTCCCCCTGACACCTTTGTGTTACACTGAGGAAGTTAGGTCTTAGGTGAAAGTTTCAGAGGAATTGCCAAATAACTTGTTCTTTTAGTACCTTAAATACACAAAGTTCTGAATGCTTAAATTATACCATAGGAGGCAGGGCAAGGTGGCTCATGCTTGTAATCCCAGCACTTTGGGAGGCTGAAGCAGGAGGATTGCTTGAACCCAGGAGTTTAAGACCAGCCTGGGCAACATAGTGAGGCGCCATCTCTACAAAAAATTAAAAATTAGGCTGAGCACAGTGGCTCATGCCTATAATCCCAGCACTTTGGTAAACCCAGGCAGTGGATCCCTTGATTTTAGGAGTTCAAGACCAGTGAGTGAAATGGGCAGGGTATAACACATCAAAGCTGGTGGGGATCATGTGAAACCACAGCATGCATGATTTGTCTAAAGGTGGCAGGTGCTGCTTAGCTCCAGCTGATAGTTGCCAGGTGACACCCTTGGGCTTACATTACCAGATCATTCAATTTTTCAGAAAAGACTTTACAAAAATAAGCCAAGCGTGATGATGTGTGCCAAGTAGTAATCCCAGCTACTTGGGAGGCTAAGGCAGGAGAATTGCTTGAACTTGGGAGGCAGAGCTTGCAGTGAGCTGAGATCACACCACTGCCCTCCAGCCTGCACAACAGAGTGAAACTCTGTCTCAAAAAAAAAAAGCCTGTTTATTATATATAATCTCTGGTACATTTTTTTGCCAACATTTTTCAAATGTTGGCAACTGTATAATGTACCATTTAACAGCCTCTGTTTTATAGTGAAACTATTGGTTCTTATTGGAAGGCTAGTTATAAAAAATACTTCTTATTGAAAATTGTATTTCTTTTAGAAATGTTTAATGGTGGCAAAGTACACATAAAATAAAATTTACTATCTTAACCATTTTTTAAATGTTAAAGCTCAGTCGCCTTAAGTACATTCATAAAGTTGTGTGACGAATCTCCAGGATTCTTTTCATCTTGCAAAACTGAAACTCTGTACCCATTAAACAACAGCTCCCAACCCCCGCCCCCCTTCTCCCAGCACCTTGCAACTACTCTTCTACTTTCTGTCTTTGTGACTTTGATGACTTTCGGTACCTCATATACTCATACAGTACTTCGATTTTTGTGACTGGCTTTTATCACTTAGCGTAATGTCTGTTCTCAAGCTTCCTCCATGTTGTAGCATGTGTCAATTTCCTTCCTTTTTAAGGCTGAATACTATTTCATTGGATGTCTATATCATGTTTTGTTTATCCATGGTTTGTCATGGACACTAATGTTGCTTCCATCCTTTGGCTATTGTGAATAATGCTGCTATGAACGTGGGTTCATTTCTTATAAAGTTGTCATGTTATTAACTTTTCCTCTGTAAGTCTGATCTTCCCAACCGGACTTTACACTGTCTCAGAGTTGGACCTGTAAAATAATGTATTTGAAAGAGCTTTATTAATGCCAAACTTCAAATAAAAGTTAATGATTTTAAACTTCCATGCCCAAGAATTAAAAATAATGTATGTAGCTTCTCCACCCTCAAGGAGATGGAACACAACCCCCTTTCCTTAAGTGTAGGATACACAGAGTGAATTTTTTTTTTTTTTAAAGAGAACTATATGGAAAGGGGAGAATGAGAGGAGTAACTTCACAGTGGAGAAACCTGATCAACACTACTTCAGCTAGGCGATCCAGGTCAACGGTGGCAGTGAAACATCATGTTAATAGCATGTGCCCAGTGACTCACCCCTGTAATCCCAGCACTTTGGGAGGCCAAGGAGGGCAGATCACGAGGTCAGGAGTTCGAGACCAGGCTTACCAACATGGCAAAACCCTGTCTCTACTAAAAATACAAAAAAATGTGCTGGGCATGGTGGTGCCCGCCCATAATCCCAGCTACTCAGGAGTCTGAGGCAGGAGAATTGCTTGAATCCAGGAGGTGGAGGTTGCAGTGAGCCAAGATCTTGCCACTGCACTCTAGCCTGGGCAACAGAGTGACTGTCTCAAAAAAAAAAAAATAGCATATACCTTTGATATGATGTGATAAGAATGGAACTTTATCTCTGTCATCTTCCTCCCCCAAACCAGTAGCTTCTGCCTAACCGTGAGACAAACACTATGCATACCCAAATGGAAGGACAAAATGCCTGACCAGTGCTCCTTAAAACTGTTAAGGTCATCAAAAACAAGCACAGTCTGAGAAACTGACACAGCCAGAGGCCGCTAAGAGACATGATGACTACATACAATGTGGTATCATGGATAACACTCAGAAACAGAAAAAGGACAATGGGCACAACTAAGGGAATTAGAAAAAGCCTGGAGTTTAGTAATGTACCAATATTAGTAACTTAGTTGTGACAATTGTGCCATAGTAATGTTTACAACAGGGGCACACTGGAACTCTCTATACGTAACAGTCTTGAAACGTCTCTATAAAGCTAAAGTTACTTAAAATAAAAAGCGTATTAAAAATAATACTGCAGCCCGGGGTGGTAGCTTACACCTGTAATCCCAGCATTTTGGGAGGCCAAGGCGGGCAGATCACAAGGTCAGGGGTTTGAGACCAACCTGGCCAACATGGCAAAATCCTGTCTCTACTAAAATACAAAAATTAGCTGGGCATGGTGGCTGGTGCCTGTAATCCCAGCTACTTGGGAAGCTGATGAAGGAGAATTCTTGAACCCAGGAGGCAGAGGTTGCAGTGAGCCGAGATTGCGCCACTGCACTCTAGCCTGGGCAATAGAGTGAGACTCCATCTCAAAAATGATAATAATCATAATACTGCACACTGAAAAAAGTTAATGATTGTTTTTACCATTATTATTAAAAAGGCTTTGAGGCCAGAGGGTCATTTGGGCCCAAGAGTCTAAGACTAGCCTGGGCCACATAGCTAGACCCCATCTCACAAAAAAGACTTTGAATTCCATGAGTAAAACGCAGTTGGCACCTTTTAATTTTACCAGTAGATTATAAGCTCCTTGAGAATAACGTTTTTATTGAACTGATCTCTTTATCCTTGAGGACTAGCCTATTGGAGACAGTAAAATAAAGGTTTGTTGAGTAAATAACTGAATGAGCGAGCAGGCACTTAGAACAACTGTATTTATCTTTTGTTGTATTCCTTGAACAAATTAATGTGAATAGAGCAGGTCCTTGAAAAACTTTGCTTAGTTTCACATCATTTTATTATATTGTTGATAAGAACAGCAATTGCTTCCCAGCCAAAGCCATTGTCTATGTGAAGTTTGCACCGCTTCCCACATCCCAAAGATGTGCACACGAGGTGAATTGGCATGTCTACACT